TTTTTGTTGACCTTTGTCCATGGAAGGTCCCTGCAAAATTTCATTGAAATTGGTTCAGGGGTTTTGGAGAAGAAGTCGAAAATGTAAATTGTTTACGGACGCACGACGGACAAAAGGCGATCGCAATAGGTCACTTGAGACTTCGTCTCAGGTGACCTAAAAAGTGATGTTCTTTTCAGGATTTGCCTATCTGTACAAAGTCTCTGCAAAAATGCAATTGTTTTGTAAATTTAAATGACCCAATCAAAGGGTTCCACTCCACCTGGTAATTCATAATATGGTGGTGCTAATCTTAACACATTGTGTCAGATGAAACAATCCAGTTCAATTTATAATAAGATACAAAAGACAAATAAAATATCCGACTCACTGTGGACAGCATGCCGGACAAGATGTATAAACCAGGGCCAAATGAATGAATCATGATCATGACTGTTAGTGTGCCAACACCTTATATAATGAGTTCAACTGTTACCCAACACTCACTGACAAGGAATTGACACTGTGATGACATTACATGTACAGATAAAAGATTGACGTTGATCAGGTATCAGTCAGTGGTGAGACGTGTACCCTTCTGTAGAAATCAGAATCCTTCAGTATACCATAAACTAAATGAATTCACAAGTATATGTATGTAGTTAACCACATGGCAGCCATCCTCTGTAATTGATGCGCAGAAATAGTGTGCATAGTACTAGTATTATCATGATCAACACATGACTGTTATATATATATATGTGAAACTAAAAGAATTTCCCAGTCGGGAGGCTAACGATAAGAAACTGTTCCTAAGGATTTTGAGAATAAACATTGTTTTATAACTGTATTTACAAGGCGAAATCATATATTTTTTTTTAAAAAAGGGCCAATCAGTCTGTAGTTATATATATATGTGAAACTAAAAGAATTTCCCAGTCGGGAGGCTAACGATAAGAAACTGTTCCTAAAGATTTTGAGCATAAACATTGTTTTATAACTGTATTTACAAGGCGAAATCATATTTTTATTTTAAAAAAAAGGGCCAATCGGTCTGTAGTCCATGGTTGCCTGGTTTCGGTTTGGATAAGCACACACACCTAAATTAATCCAACTGGCAATATATTTCAACTGTTGCAGCCCTACTACCTATTTAGAAGACCATAGCACCTGAGGTATATATATATGGTAAATAATTGAGACACCACAAAAAATCATCACATGATTAAATTGTAAATAATTGAGACACCACAAAAAATCATCACATGATTAAATCGATGTCAAACTTTTAATTACATCTAATGTATTCTGGGCCCAGACCAGTTGTTGCAATGTACATTTAGTAGTGATTTACATGCATCAAAGTCAACAACATTTATTTTCAAAAATCATGAATTAACTTTAACATGAATATCTGTTGTGATGTCAAGCTATATTATAAATATTTAACAACAAACGGTAGACGTGGACAGCTTCAATCCAATCACAAAAACTGGTCTGTCAGGTATACCAGAATTTCAACAAAATGTGATAACCTAGCTGTATGACATGTGTATATATATTCTTAACAACACCAGCCAATATAATAAATTTATATGCATAGCTACCTGTTTTCAAACTATACAGCAGCATCCGTTGCTTTCCTTCACTGGACTAGTGTTCATCTCCCGTACAATTTCAATGAAAACTTCATTGACATTTTGAGTATTTTTGGCCGAGGTTTCTAAGAACGGACATCCCCATATTTGAGCTAATGTTGCACCTTCCTTTGACGGCACTTCCCTTTGATGTTCCAAGTCAGCTTTATTTCCCACTAATATCATTGGAATATTTTCAATCCCTTTCACTCGCATAATTTGTTCTTTCATGGATTTGATATCTTGGAAAGTTTGTAAGCTTGTTATACTGTAAACAATAACAAATCCTTGTCCATTCTTTATATACAAATCCCTCATTGACGCAAATTGTTCAGTTCCAGCTGTGTCCAGGATTTCCAAAACTGAAGGCGCTGAATCCACTTCAATTTCCTTCCGGTAGAAGTCTTCAATCGTCGGGTCATACTTCTCCATAAATGTTCCGGACACAAATTTAACTGTCAGCGCACTTTTACCCACACCGCCACTCCCCAACACGACAACCTTATACTCCCTCATTGTTCTTGATCAATTTCTAAAACCTTTTTGGTTTATAAGAAGTATGATGTATTAACCGTTAAATTTCTGTCACTATATATATATGATTTTTCCACAATATTAATCACGTATTGTGTTTGTGCTGTATCAATTACAGTATTGATAATCCAACGACATCAGACAATGGGTATACGGCTTAGACAGGACAATCCCAAAAACTGACGTTTTCAGACAAAAAACTCGGAAGATGATGGACGATTCCCTTGCTTTCATATTTTCACTGTCATCATTTAAAAATATCGAGAAAGGCAAGCGTCATTACCCTGAAAAGAAACAAAATTAACAGCATTAATACATTAATTACAAGTTATGTTTGTATAACGGTACAAATACATCGGTATAGAAAATGTCAAAATCGCTAACCTTCTCGCCATTTTGGGTGGGCTTTGAGGATTATTACCTTCTAGTGAAGATTTCTAGTAAGAACGACAACTCCGATATGCTCAGAGCGATCGACTGCGAAATTGGGTCAACTATTTGTCTATGCTTATATAATTTTTCGATGACATAGAGATGACGTACGCAAGATATGTGGACATACATATGTTTTTTTTATTTAAACATGTTTTTATTTGCATCTAATATACAGAAGGGATTGGGCACAAATTGTCCAACTTATGTAAAGCCCTTTCCCTATAACATAATGAAATATATATAGACTATATATATATACAAGATGGCAATTTTTAAATTAATTAATATTTTCAATTAAGTTTAGTGTTACTGACAGAGAGAGAGAGAGAGTGAGAGAGAGGGGGTGGGGGTGGGGGGCTTTTCTAATGTTCATCACTTCCCGTGCCTCTGTTGCCTTCTCCTTGTAAATTCGATTCCTTCTGGTATTTTCGTTTCACTAGTGCCGTTTGTATCGGGGAAGACCAGAAACACGACTCTTCAACATTTAAGATAAAAATGATTTTCGAANGGGGGGGGGAGGGTATATATTTATCAAAATCTATGTGAATCTAGAATATATTGCCGAGTATGTTAAAATATTATTTCATTTTCCTGTTGGCTTAATTCCAAACACCCAAAAAGTATCAGCTGCAGGTCCAGAGGAATGAAATAGTTTGGTTCACGATATAATTTAATTCTTTGTTGTACATAATTGTTAAAAGCGAAAAAGAAATGATACGTATCTTCAACAGGATGGCAACATTGACAGTGTCGGAAATTTATTAGATTTGCATGGAATAGATCATTATTTAAGGTACTAGCTCTGTTTCTTAATCTGGTATGTAAAATGTTAAGTTTTCTATCACCAATCAGATAATATTTTGGAACATATAAATTTTGAAGATTTAGGAGAGAAGTATGTGAAACTCTGTGTCTTATGTCTAGGTCAATTTTCTAAATTTTCACATAAAGTATGATAAATTTCAATTATAATTGATGCATTGTAGAATGGCCAGGCTGGAAACCCGATTTGTATTTATATATTAATGAGTTTTCTAATAAATAAATATTTATATATTTTACAACTAGTCGTTCAAAAACTTTCCCAACAGTACTAAGTAATGAAATAGGTCTAATTGGCATAATCTTCTTTATCCCCTTTTTTAAATAACGGCATGACTAACGCTTGTTTCCAGGGTTTTGGAAAGATTCCAGTTTCCAAAGAAGATCTAAATATTAGTGATAAAGGAAAAGATACTGTATATGCTGTATTTTTTAACATGTTATGACTGATTGTGTCGCCACCAACAGATTTACTAATATTCAAAGATTTCAAAATGTCTATAATGTCATCTAATTGGAAAGGTATGTCAGATATGGTGGCTTCCGTCTTAAGCTCTACCCTAGGTACATCAATATTAGTATCGTCAATGGTAGAAATGGAAACAAAGAATGTTGACTTTACCAAAATTTGTCATTTCAATATTTCCAGTTACATTTTTGAGAGGAGGTATATTATTACAGTTATCCGAAGTTTTTATTAATCTACGAACAATTTTCCAGAAATTTCTTGAATTCGAATTTGAATAACGATCTAAAATTCCATTTATATCTGCGTAGAAAAGTTCTTTTATGTTGTTTTTTTTAGATTATTTACATGATTACGTTGTTTCCGGGATTTATGTAAGTTATAAGGAGAACGATTGGTTTTAAATAATTTTAGTAGTCGGTCTCTTTTCCTTATTTCTCGTCTAAAGTTAGAATTAAACCAAGGCTTGTCATTAGGTCGAATCGTAACAGTTTTTGTTGGTATACATTCCCCTGCTATGTCTAAAAATTTGGATGTTAAAAGTTCGCACATGTCATCCGGGGAGTGCGTCCTCGAAAATAAGTCTGGCCAGTCTGTCTCGTCTGATTTAATGTTAAAAAGTTCCTTATTTGTGTCGCCATAACATGTTATTTTCTTTTTGTAAGCTCTTGTGATATTACGGCCAACAGTCAGTTCAACAGTCGTCGCTTGGTGGTCAGATATATGTCATTTCCGATGTCAATTACCGTCAGCAAAGCTAAAAGTGCATGTGTCGGATCGGAGAATTGGGTCAAGCAGGGTAGAGCACGTGCGTCCTATACGAGTCGGTTTGTCAATAACGTTGGTCAGGTGAAAGGAGTTGATAATATCATAAATTACGTGAGTGTTTTCTACAACTAAGAGATCAACATTAATGTCACCAACTATAACAATATATGGAGTTTCGTGTATGGCAGTTTCTATAGAAAATCGAAAATGATTCCAGAAGGAGTGCGCAATATTAGGAGGTCTGTAAACTGTACATAGGAGAAATTTCTTGGTTGGAAACTGGATCTCTGTCCAAACCACTTCACCCACCCCAAATTCAAAGTCAGCTCTACGACGGGTGCAGAAGAGACTGGAAGTGTAAACAGCTATCCCCCCACCCGGAGAACCACGATCATTGCGGTACAATTCATAGCCACCTAGGAGTATATCGTCGTCTGCTATGATATATCAAGGTGAGTCTCGGTGACACAAACAATATCATAGTCAGTTGCTACATGTTCTAAATATGACAACTTATTTCACAGACTACGAATGTTCAAAGGAAAAATAGATATATCGTTATTTTGGGTTGTTGGGCCAGGGAAATTAGGATGATGAACGTCGTTACAGGATAAGAGAAGGAATTGTAGTATAAGTAGAAAGTCAGAGTTTTTGATAATACAACATGTAGGGTAATATGGACAGCGTAAAGGAGCTCAGCTAAAATGTACATCACACCAGACCTGCAGAACATTTTCTGTATATCAATATAAAATAAAAACTGCTGTTTAGTTAAAATACCATGTGTACGTTTGTAGAAACAACCGACTACCCATCTCCACCCATGGTCATCAAATAGTATTGCAGTATTTATAGAGAGACAGTCGGTTATATTCACCATACGCATGCGTTTTTTCTATATAAATGTAAATATGGCACTCGGGGGCGGAGAAATGGATATCGGGGTCAGGACAGGATAGGTCAAAGGTGAGAGAGGTGAAGAAGGGTAGTAGAAATATGTAAACAACGAAAATATTACTACACAAGGAACACATTCGTAGCGCGCTAAAGTATTAGCTGAATTATGGAGTACCTAAGTTTATGTGAGCAAAATTTACAGTGATATTTGATTGTATATGCTTTTCGACGCTATATTTACAGGCAAACGCATTTGTTACAGGGTATAAATACATTTGGAAATGAGTATATTTACAATACACTTACAGATAAACTATGGTATAATATGTTATAATAGAGCAGAAATGTATACATTTGGAAAGCATTGAGTTTTCAGTACATGTGAAATTATAATATCAAAAATACACATATACATGTATATACAATAATTATTCAAGATACATTTGGAGGGCTGTATATTTCCCTTTAAATGTGCATATATCAAATGAGATGGTACATACAATGATGTAGGCATACATATGTGTGTTTGTGTTAGTGTATGAGTGCTCATAACTTCAAACTGATGACAAAAAATAAGACCATGCACATGTTTTTAATGACAAAGTTATGGAGGATTACAGACTTTACTTAGCCTTAGAATTAAAAAAAGATTTACATTAATTAACGTATAGATGTGCATATTTCTGGGTTCAAGTACTAAATGCCCCAACTAATAATATTACTCTAGATCTATAATAAAACATTAGCAAAACCCTATATTGATATTTATCAAAATCTATGTGAATCTTGAATATATTGCCGAGTATGTTGAAATACTATTTCATTTTCACGTTGGCCTAATTCCAAACTACCAAAAAGTATCAGCTGCAGGTCCAGAGGAATGAAATAGTTTAGTTCACGATATAATTTAATTCTTTGTTGTACATAATTGTTACGAGCAAAAAAGAAATGATAAGTATCTTCAACAGGATGACAACATTGACAGTGTCGGACATTTATTAGATTTGCATGGAATAGGTCATTATTTAAGGTACTAGCTCTGTTTCTTAATCTGGTATGTAAAATATTAAGTTTTCTATCGGCCAATCAGATAATAATTTGGAACATAGAAATTTTGAAGATTTAGGAGAGAATTCTTAAACGCTGTATGTGAAACTCTGTGTTTTATGTCTAGGTCTAATTGGTTCCAAAATCGGATTGTAGAAGGGAAAAAGGATGAGTTTGAAAGTTGAAGTCGGAAATTAGGAAGAGAATAATTGGCATTACGGAGTTTGTATTGTGAATTTTCTGAGACAAGAGGAGACAGTAGAGAAGTAAGATAGGTTGGCGTGAAATTATTGTGAATTTTGTAGAATAGTTGAAGTTTTCTCCTAGATCTTCTCTGAGATAAGGGTTTGAATCAACGTCCAGAGTATAAAGATGTTCTGCTAGAATAAGAGGATAAACCCGTGATTATCCGTGCCAGATTGCCTGCGTCACCGAGAGTACACACCCATCCCATACCTCGCAACAGTATTCCAGTAATGGAAGGACAAATTATTGACTCGACTACAGATATAGATCAGCATAACGCTATTGTGGTACCGGCAATAACATTATTTTAGCGATTTCTTAAATTGAATTTCACCTCAAAGTTAACTTGAAATAAAAATCATCTACTTCCTCACCCACCGAGTATATTTTAGCGTGAAGAATGAGGAGAGTTATATCACGGACTTAGATAGCATCTAATTCCGTCGTTATATATATCATCTATGTGATAGGAGACATCATTTTGACCGACGTCATCCGAAATTCTGTGTTCTAAATCAAAGAAATAATAGGATGGGAGAAAAATAATCATCCCCTACCTTGAGGGTGTGATAGAGAAATCGCCAACCCTCGGGGTGATGTTTTTCGGTTGTCTAACCCTCGGGTTAGACAACCAAAAAACATCACCCCGAGGACTGGAGATTTCTCTGTCATACACTCAAGGTAGGGGATGATTGTATTTCTCCCATCCTATTATTTCAGTCACAACTCCGCCGACAGTAGTCTGCCATGTTTGTAAACAAAAACACATGTGGGGTATGAATATC